GGTCTGGCCCTTTCTCTCCGCATGCTGGTAGTAAGCCAGCGCCTTTTCGCTTACACAGTTCTCCGTACCTTCACAGTTCCTGAGGTTTCAGCGCTCCTTCTCTCTCCTTCCCAGATGGCAGAGCCTCCTCTCAGCTAGCCTTCCGGTGCTTCGGGGCAATGCCTCCCCTGTTTTCCAGTTCTAAATTCAAATTTGTTGTGGTAGGCTGCATTCGGGTATCTACCCTATTGCCGCCATCTTGGTTTTTCTAGTTTGCTTTTTTTAAAATGTTGTAGCAAGTTACATTTCTATCGGCGAATGATAAGTAGTTATTACCTCTTTTAAATCTTTGCCGGTCTAAGGAAAATTAAGTGATATTAATTTTCTTTTTTCTACTCACGAATGTGAAAATCTTTTCATGTGGATTGCCTTTGAATTCTTACATGAATTATTCTCTACCCATGTTTCCACTGTGTTGTATGTCTTTTTCTTGCCAATTTTTAAGAGTTCTTTATCCTCCTATATAATAAAAGGCTAATTGTATGCAAATTGTCCCCTCAACCAGGAGTTCACCAGGGGGCGGGGGCCGGCTGGCCAACCATCCACGGCCCCTAGCGGGGCAGGCTAGCCAGATCCCACTGGTGCATAAATTCGTGTACCAGGCCTCTAGAATAATATAAATAATAATCTGTAGTTTTTTCCCAAACCCATCATTTGCCTATTGACTTTTCTCAAAGTGTGTTTATTTTTACATAGTTTAATATATTTTCTTCTGGAGTTTCTAGGATTCTAGTCCTTATTAAAAAGGACTACTTTGCCCTTAATATGTACATATAGACCTAGTTGGATTATTTGTTTGATTTTAAGATTCTTTTCTTTTTTAACATTTAAATATTTCTTCATGTAGGTCCAATGTGTTTATGGTCTAATTCATTCTGAGTAACATAATTTTTGTTACAAATGTGAATAGAATATTTTCTTCATTTTCATTCTTAGGATATCATAAAGCTATTAATTTTCTCACCAGTCCTCTTAGGGAAGGATATCTTGACCAGATACAGGATTTTGGGTCCTGTCTTTCTCTTAGCCTAATAGATAGCATTTCTTGTTGCTCCAACCTTCCAGAGAGGCAGAAAGAAGTGTGATGCTTGCTTGTTCCTTTGCTTTGCAGGAGACCGTAACTAGGTCTTTTCACTTAGAAGCATGTAGCGTTTTCTCTGTCCCTTCAAAGAAAATCAGGGATTTTAGCTAGTGATCTCCCAGGATTTGCTGGTGGTATGCTTCTTTTTCATCCAATCTAGAGTGGACCTGCTGGTGTTTTTTTATATGTAGTTCAGGACTTGTACCTTTCCTCATTTCTTTTTCTCCTTCTGGAACTTATAGATTAGGCTCTCCTGGATCTATTCTAAAATTTCTTAACTTTTATCTCATTTTTTTTTTTTTTACTTTTCTAAATTATATCTCCCCCCTAACCCTCCACCAGCCTTTGAAATATTTCCTCACTTGATCTTTTATGCCACTAAACTGGATCCCAACAGGGACTGTTCTGTCTTCATTTCATCTGATAACTTAATTAGTGAAAAAGGCACACTTGGCATATTTTAGCTTCTTAATAATAAAAACGTTTGGATACATTCAAAAGTATAGAGGGAAGTATAATGAATCCCATCTTCCAATTGCAAGTTATCAATAGGCAACGTTTCTGTCATCCAGTCTCAATAACTATCAACGTGTGACCAACCTTGTTCATCTGCACCCCTGCTCACTCTCCCCACCTCAGCCAGACATCATACCATTTCATCCCGAAATAACCCCGTTAAATAATTCATCTTATCGCTTAGGAAGAGTTCTTTAAAAAACAAAGCTGAGAGTTCAAGGTTTCCTTTTGCAGAGATGAAAAAGTGCTGTAACTGGATAGAGGTGGTGCTTACACAACCCTGTGAATATGTCAAACACCCCTGGATTGTTCAGTTTAAAATAGTTAGTTTTTATGACTTTAACATAAAAATTAATTTACAGTTTTAAAAAAGAAAAACCCCGAGGGAATAAAACCCACATAACCACTGTTTTTACACTTAAACAAAAGTAACCTTTTTAAAAAATTGAATTTAGTGGGGTGACATTGGTTAATAAAATTATATAGGTTTCGGGCGTACAATTCTATAATACATCATCTGTATGTTGTATTGTCAAGCCCCGGCATTTTTTTAGTATCTGTTTAGTATTACCAGAAAGTCTCCCTGTGCTAGGCTTGAATCTCCTTAAGTGCCCTTTCCGTGCTGGATACGCTGAAGTGGCTGTTGTCTTTCTCCCCAGCACTCCTCTTTCGCTGAGTGTGAATTATATTCCCTCAGACCGGCCTCTGCCTGCTGGATCCCTTTTCTAGCCTTGCTGCGGGCTCAGGTCTGGTTGGGGAAACACTGAGCACTGGCATCTATAATACCTGGTGGAAGAAGCAAGCAATCTCCACCCCCTACCCCCGCTCGGTCATACAGGGGAAAGCGGGCTCTGCCCAGTCACTGCCTGCCCTGCCTCCACCGTGGCCCAGCCTCAGGCACAGAGGGGTCAGGCCCAGGTTCCAGCTCCTTCTTGGCCTTCCATGCCGGAGCTGAGGCCAGGTGAGTGTACCGATAAGCTGGGCTTCCCCAGGAGTCCATGGTCTCCACAGACGGAGTGCTTCCCGGGCCTGCCACTGCCCTGTCTCGCTCCAGGACTGTGCCTGCACCTGAAGAGAGGTGCTGGCCACGGCAGGACTGGAGACAGGAAATGCCCAATGACCCATGTGCAGTATTAAGTCCAAAGGAGGAAGGAATAGTTAAGGCTGGGCCTCTAGTTGATTTTTGACAAGGTTGTCAAGACCATTCAATGAGTAAAGAATAGTCTCTCTAAGGAACGGTACTGGGGCAACTGGATAACCACATGCCAAAGAATACAGTAGACCCTTCCTTACACTGGATACAACATCAGCTCACAATCAACTCAGCCTAAATATAGGAGCTAAAACCATGAAATTCTCACAAGAAACATAAGGGTAAATCTTCATGACCTTGGATTTGGCAGTGACATCAAAAGGAGGAGTGACAAAAGAAAAAAAATAATTGGACTTCTTCAGTATTAAAAACTTTTGTGCATCAAAAGGCATTATCAAGCAAGTCGTATACAGCCTACAAAGTCGGAGAAAATATCTGCACATTATGCGTTGATAAAAATCTAGAGTCTAGCATACTGGTGTATAAAGAATGCTTACAGCTCAACAACAAAAAGACAATCCAATTAAAAAATGGGCAAAGAACTTGAAATACATAGATCTTTCTCCAAAAAAAGGTATCCATAGAGGGGATGAATGGGGGTAGAAAAAATAAAAGGCAGATAGACAAATGACCGGTAAAAGCTGCTCCCGGGCATTAGCCGGTAGGGACGTGGACATGAAAACCACTCCTGCAAGGACAGCAGTGACCACAGAGGAACAGCCAGTGTTGGTGAGCGTGTAGGGGAAGCGGGACCCGGGTACATAGCCGGTGGGACTATAAAGCGGTGCAGCCTCTGTGGAAAGCAATTTGGCAGCTCTTCAAAAAGTTAGACATAGAATTGCCGTGTGTCCCAGCAACATACTCGAAAGAATTGAAAACAGGGATTCAAACAAACATATGTCCATTCGTTCATAGCAGCACCATTCACAGTAGCCAAAAGGTGGAAACAGCCCACATGTCCGTCAGGGAGTGAGTGGACAGACGGAATGTGACAGATCCACGCACGTGCATCGGACTGTCAGCCAGTCATGCAGAGGAGTGAGCTGCTGCTGCAGGGATGCACCTCAAAACATTGTACGTGAAAGGAGCCAGATACCGAAGGCCCCATCCTGTGTGATTCGTTTATAGGGACTCTCCAGAACAGGCCGGCCCTGAGGCGGAAAGCAGACCGGCCGCAGCCAGGAAGCGGTGGAGGAGTGTTTGCTGAGTGGGTGCGGGGTTTCCTTTGGGCTATGGAAGTGTGGGGACTGGACAGAGGCAGTGGTTGTGCAGCATTAAATGCCACTGGACTGTTCCCTGTAACACGGTTCATTTCATCTTAAGAAAGAAAAACTAAAAGACAGGACATCGTTGGGTGGGGTGTTAGCCATGTCCTTCAAGCACCAAGCCCAGGGCCTCGGGGCACAACGCCCTTCCCTGCCTGGCCCCTCCGTCTCCCCGTCGCCCCCATCCCACCTCCCGGCCTGGCTCCCTCCAGACCATTCCCCTTCCCCGAGGACCTGCCCTGCACGCGCCTGCTCCGGGCCCTGTCCTGGCCGGTTCCTCTCCCCGGAAAGCTCTTCCTCGTCCTGCATTGTCTGGTGCTGCCTGGCCTTCAGGCTTCAGCCAGGTGCTTTGACAGGTGCTGCCTTAGACTCCTCACCAGGACCCTCTGAGGTAGACACTGTTCACCCCTCTTCCAGAGAGACCACGGTGTGTGTGTGTGTGTGTGTGTGTGTGTGTGTGTGTGAATGTTACACCCACTTCACAGGGTTCAGGAAGAGCACACAGCGGGGTGAGAATTTGCCTACAGCCACACAACTGTTTTGCCCAGATTTTGTGATCCCCAAAGACCACCAGGGAGCCGAGTCCGATGCAAAAGCGAGAGAGTTTTTCATTCAGGCCAGCCCGAGCTCAATCCCACATACACTGGCGAGCGGCAAGGTGGAGAGAGAGAGAGGAGAGCGAGCTCGGGTTTCTCCAGAATAAAGGATTTATAGGGGCGGTGAGGTCACTGCTGTGGCTGACCCCGATGGGTTGGGTGAGGGCTAGGGTCCGGTTCCATAGCGACACAGTTACACAAAACGGAGGACCCAGCACAAGGATGGAGCCAGGGGTTACGGAGCGGGTCCCCAAGCCCATGCTCTCCGCCAGGGCCCGGCGCCAGCCGGGCTGCAAGTGGCATCGGACCGAGACGCCCCAGCAGCTCCGCCGTAGAGTCCGGGAGGGAGTGGGCCCGGGAGGAAGCCTTGCTAACCCTTTGCCCTGTCCGTCTCTCCTCCCCGGGCGCAGGTGGAAGTGAAGCCATACGTGCTGGACGACCAGATGTGCGACGAGTGCCAGGGCACACGCTGCGGGGGCAAGTTCGCCCCGTTCTTCTGTGCCAACGTCACCTGCCTGCAGTATTACTGCGAGTACTGCTGGGCCAGCATCCACTCGCGCGCCGGCCGGGAGTTCCACAAGCCGCTGGTGAAGGAGGGCGGCGACCGCCCCCGCCACGTGCCCTTCCGCTGGAGCTGAGGCCGCGGCAGGCCTGGCCGCGCGAGCCGGCGTCCACGACAGAGGAGGGAGCCGAGAGGGCACTGCCTCCGGGCCTACCGTGTTCTGGAAATCTGTGCATCCGTTCTCGATTTTTAAAGAAGAAATGGGTCTTTTTATTATTATTAATTATTATTATTATTTACAGTCCTGTTACTGAACTCCATGTCCAGTATAATGCAGAATTGCAGAGTGTATAACGGTACTGATGTGCACTTTGATTCACACCTTTTGTCTGCTCGGTACCTTCATTTCTTCACACCTGACCTTGTCCCTCGTGACAGTACGTAGACTGCCATTCTCATCAGCGGCCATCGGGTGGATGTCTGTGGTTTTTTTTTGTTTGTTTGTTGCCGTTGTGTTGTTGTTGTTGTTGTTGTTACAATTGTTTTTGAACTGGAGCATGCACTTATTTTCAGAATCTTGGAGCGTTGCCCCTAGGAGAAGACTCACCAAAGGGGAACACTGGTGAGTTAGGTGGCAGATGTAGCAAAAACTTCACAACAATTCAGCAATCACTAGTTGGGGTCATTTAGAGTAAGGGTAATGTAACCCTTCATGAAAATAAGCCTTTAGTTGCTCTCTTATCTTGACATGTAAGGATACCTCATAAGCTGAGTCTTTATTTTTTTTTTTTCCCTTCACGTTTGATTTTGTTTTGCTGAGGATTTCAGTTAGATCTCTTAGTGTTACATAAATTTATGCTGCAATAGCTTTTGCTGCTATTAAACATGGTATTATTAATACCATACTACTCTATTCAGGCTAAGGTATCAATGAATAAAACCCAACAACACACTGTCTGTGATTTAGGGATAGAACCCGCTGCTGAAAGGAGATCAGAAGAGACTTCAGGAGGCTTTAAGGGAAGGTCACTATTTCTGACTGCATGTTTACTTAATCAGGTTGCTGCATGCAATAAATTTTATAGCCAATGTCTAGTATGAAACCTTCCCACAATGCACAAATTAAGAATCTATATAAGCTATACAATACTGATTTTTTTAAACAAACAAAGAACAAGATTTTTTTTTTTTTCATTCAAAGAATTGGTAATTGACTGGAGGAAGGCATGCCTCAATAAACGGAATGCTTCTGAAATTAGGAAGATCCCATAACAGAATGACCTATATTACAACCAATATACAACCTAGGTGTAGGATATTCTTAAAAGCAAATTTCGTGGATGGTAGATGAAGTACTTTGCGGTGCTCTGTTATATATCGTGCAATTTATTTTATATAGTAAAGTGATTATGTCTAACTGTGATCAAACTTAACTGTTTAAAAGCCTCTGTGTCAGACGTTAGTGAACTTGACAGTTCACAACTATGGTATACTCTTAACTAACACATGAGCTCTTAGTTCCAATCTCCTAGTGCTTGCACCATTTTACTACATAGCTTCAGACCTTGTCCAGAAAACCAAAGAGCTCATCTTTAGCTTACAAACACTAGGAATATATACAGTATATAGAGATAAGTTGTCAGATTGACAAACTAGGCACACTTTAAGGAAAAAGTTATGCTAAAGAAATGTCTGTGCAAGAAATGATGGCCTGGGGGGTGGGGGGTCGGTTGTCTGGGTGAGACATTCACTACTTAATTCCCTGGATTTATCCTATAAAGCTTGAATAGAATTAAGACCTGCTAATACTACCGTGGACATTTTTTTAGCATTCACTCTTGGGCTGCAGATAGTAATATATAAACACACACGATGATTGTGAGACTATGTAGAATTTTTTTTTTTTTTAATCTTCTTCCTATGTTTTGGAAATCTGGGGACAATCTGACTGGATATGACACTGCAGACTAGGTTTAAATCGCTGTGTTTTACGTGCTGTGATGTCCTTGTACTGTCTTAAGTTAATATTGCTTGTTTTGTTTCTCCAGTGTTTCATTGCAATTACCAGCTCTCAAAACGATAGTTTGTTTCCAAAAAAGGAAAAACAAAATAGTTTTTTACTGGATTAAAAATGCTTATTAGAAATTCCCCCCTTTTGAGGTTACCTCTGGGCTTTTTGGTAAGAATTGCTTTATTCCAGCCCCGCTGTGGTTTTCTGTTGTTTGTTTTCTATGTTTGTGGGTTTGTTTTGTTTTGTTTTTCATCTGTATAAGAAGTTTTGTTATGCACTACTACTTTTTGTATTCTAGACAGTTTCAAAAGTTGGCTGAAGATTTTTTTGTTTGTTTGTTTTTAAGGAAAAAGGCATGCTTTCTGACTGACATGATCTTTTTGCAATACCTCAATTTTGAAATATAGGAGAGAAAAATGATATTTTCTAAGTAAGTTTATTCAGAAAAATATATATTAATTTAATTCTGCAAGAAAAAATGATTTAACAGATGGGTAACTTTATTTTTTTCATGCTTATTTGTGTTTTTTGAAAATGAAGAAGTTAGAGCTTTATAACTATATTAAAGATCATATCTAACCTACAGAAATCTACCTAATTATATGAGAGAAGCAAAACTTTTTGAAGAAGCACCCCTCTTTCGTGTACTAAAATAACACTGAGATTTAAAAATAAAAACAAAAACAACAACAACAAAAAAGCTGGAAGATTGTACAGCATAAAGCTTCACGTGAAAGCTTAACGTTGTCATGAATAGGTTACAAAAAATAAACTCCATTTGGTGCTGAAAGTTGTGAATAGATGGTGGAAACTACTTTCCCTTAATTTGTATATTTATAATCAAGCGTTGATTGTGCACGACTGGCCAGGATTGTGAAAGAATTCTTCTGTTTGTATTTTTTTAAAAAGAGAACTTTTTTAGTTTATTAAATTATAACATGTTCCCTTTTGTTTTGTAAATAAATGTGCCCCTCCTCCCCCGAGTTGTTAATGTTATATTAAAAGAGAGGGTCCTTCAAAAAAAATTATTTTTTAAAAAACACAGAGGTGTTCTGACCTGCAACTTGACTGGGAAGCCCCTGGGTATCACAGGTCCTGTTGTGGCCTTTCCTTGATGTGACACTTGAACTAGTCGATTTTTTGAAGGCTATAACCTAACCTCGACTATTTGTTGTTCTGTGCAATACTGTTTGTACTGTTTGTATAAAAAAAATAGAAAAAAAAAGAAAAGAAAAAAAGGCATAAATCTTTATTGCAGATTTATTTTCATTGCAAACTTTAGACATTGTGATTCACTGAAATCATTTTTCTACTGTCAAATATGTACCTTTTCTTCATGCTGGTATTTTTTCAATAGTAATGTAGCCTTTGTACTGAGACAAATTTTCATTGTTATTTTTAGAGAGATTTTTTGCTAAGAAAAAAATTTAAACATATTTACATATTTTTCATTTTATTTCGTATTTTCTTTAAGGAGTGCTTTCTCAATCATTAATAAGAGTTGTTTCTGGGAGGGACTTTCATATCTGGTCAATGTCATAATATTATTTTGTATTTTTACTTGGAATAAATTAATTTTATGATGCTAATTCTTTAAAAGTTTATTTTTTTCATTTTCGGTTATTTTTGAAGCTAAAAACCTTTGTAATATTGTTACTAAAGTGTCTAGTTTTTTGAAATGCAAAGCTTTATGTATTAACTTGCTGATGTGGTTTACAATAGTGTGACAACAATGAAAAAACGGTTGGTTATGTAAAGAATAATTGGGTAATAAAATGACAGAACGAGCAGAACGTGAGATTTTTGACAAGCCTTTTCCTTTGTTACAGTGGTTCAGTGTGAGATGAGGGATGTCACAGTACAGTTCTCTAGGGATGTCACAGTGGATTTATACAACACCAGCTGCAGCCGCGTCTGTGGCCCTGATCACGGTCACCCTCGGGAGACACCACCAGGCCGACACCTGGCCAGGTCAACAGAACGACTCATTGCTTTCCCCTCCAACTCTTCATTATGGTGTGTGTGTGTGTGTGTGTGTGTGTGTGTGTGTGTGTGTGAATCTGCCCCCAACTGCTGTCCATGTGTGAGTGAGACGGTGCCTTTTCGCCAGGCCACCCCTTTTCCCATTCATTCCCTGTGGTGACATCTGAGAGTGACCGGAAGCTGCTGAGAGGACAGACCCCGCCCTCCGGGGAGTTAGACACAGATCGCAGGGTCTCCCCAGTCCCGCAGTCTCAGCCGTCAACCACGGTCATGGACAGTCTCAGACTTCATCGTCCTTCACCTCCCCCCTGCTCCCTGCTCTGGCGCCCCTCGTTTGTCCCCCCTCATCGTCCCTCGCTGTAGCCACCCATCTGGCAACTCTCTGAGCATGATCTGTCTGCCCTCCTGTCTGCTTCTTTTCCAAACACCCACCTCACCTCGGAGCTGTGCTGTGAATGGCAGCGAGCCATCGGAATGGCACCTAAAATTAAGACAAAACACACACACACACACAAAAACGACTACATGCGACTGCAGAACTGGTGTTGCGTAAACAGAACATCCAGTGATTTGCTCTAGATCGAAGGTGTGTTTCTACTGGTCCTTGATGGCCTCTTCCTGCCCCGCTGCCGGGGGGGCGAGGCTGTCGATGGCTCGGAGAAACAGCTGTCCAGTGTTGGCTCTCGGGTGTACTCTCTGTGTTCAGTTTTGTAAATACTATATAGATTAGATCAAGTCGTGATGTAAAATTTTAACTCAAATTGGGTATTCCTGGTTGGAATTTTACATTAACTCACCGATAAGTGATTAGGAACAGAAGAAACGAAATTGGAAAAAAATTCTTGCTTAGTGGTATAAAGATTACGCTTAGATTTCTGCTTCTATCTTGTGTTTTATAGCTTGTGTAGTGAGGCATGGGCTAATGCAGAATGTATTGCATCGATGCGATTAGCAAAATAACTGCTAGTTTTTCATTTTATCTCTTATTGTATTAGCAACACAATGGTATTTAACTGGGTAAGGCTCCTACCTACCTATTTGAGTATTGTGACATCTCTACTTGCAAGGTTTGAGTGAAAGATTAGTCACAGATTAGTGAAAACAAAACAAAAAAAAAAGTATCTTTTTGTTAAAACTGGCTT